GGCCGCTGCGACGGCGGCCGCTGTGGCTGCGGCTGCGGCTGCTGCCGCTGCTGCTGCTGCGGCTGCTGCTGCTGCTGCTGCTGCTGGCTGCTGCTGCTGCTGCAGTCGCTGCTGAGCGCGCGGGCCAGTGTGAAGAGTGTAGAGACCGGAGCCCGGCTCAGCAGCAAAAGTGGCGAGGGGCTGGTAAGAGTCCCCGTCAACACACACCGCAGTCTCTCCAGAAGGCTCAAACCACACACCCACGTGCTGACTCACAAGGGGTCGCACGCCCACCAAGTTCCGGGAGAACGAGGGGACGTGAAACCCAGTGAGAGACCCAGAAGGAGCAGCCGGACACGGCAAGGTGGTAGTGTGACGCGCAGTGACTGGTCCCGAAGTGGGATCAGCCAGCGCCACAGAAACAGGCGCAGGAAGAGGCGTAAGTGTCGTGCTGTCACGAAAGAAGCAGTGAGAGGCTCCAGAGTCCAGCGTGAACGACAGCGAACCGTCCTCTGAGGTAGCCGCTGGACTAGAGTCTACACAAGAACCTACACTAGCAACAGGCAACTGAGCAAGGCTAGCACCTAAGCTAACAACACCAGAGTAAGCAGAGTCAGAAACACTAGAGTCAACAACAGCATACATAGCATGGGGAGTACCAATCAGATCAACTAACTGCTCAGCAGACATGCCCCACAGAGCGGAGCCGTAGCGCTGAACAAGAGGCAGCCAGTCAGGGGCAGGAGCACCAACCCCGTAGACCAAACGAACCGTGTCAGTGAGCTGAGCAAAGCACTGACCAGGGGGGTGAAACCGGCCACAAGGGTGGCCACGACGAGTGCCTGTCAGAACCTGGTAGGTGCAGGGAGTGTAAGCAGCACCGCGCTGGGTCTGACGCAGCCCCGACCCTGGAGCCAGCTGCTGCCGCTGCTGCTGCTGAGGCTGCTGGGAGGAGAGGGGCTGCTGGTGCTGCAGAAGCTGCTGCTGACGCTGAGCCTGGTACCACGCCGCTGCTCCACCAACCGGGGCAGGAAGTACAGGAGGCGACTGACGAACTCGGGCGTCGCCACCACTAGCAGGCGCAGTGGAGTCACCAGTCACTGCACGAGGCGCCTCTCCAGGCCCTGAACCTCCACCGCCGCCAGGCGCAACGCCACCTCCACTACCTCCGCCTCCACCTCCACTACCACCACCAGAACCGCCTTTCTTGCCACTCCTACCGCGGGACCGCGACGCAGTCGTAACAGCAGCTGCAGTCGCGTCAGTAGCGGCAGTGGCAAGTGAGGCAGTAAAGGTGGGTAACTGCGGGACTGTGCACCCGTGGAAGAGTGGGGGGGGCACAGCACCAGAGGCAGCGGCTACCGAGCGAAGGTTGCTCTCGACGTCCTTGAGTGCAGACTCAAGGACATCGACGGTGAGCTCACTAGGGTGCTTCAGCAGAAGCGCGTCGCGAACGGAGGCAAGGCGGTCAGGGAGGCTAGTGGCGATGAAATAGATAGTAATCGCCATAGGGGGAGGAAGCAGTGCAAGCTGTGCCTCAGTGCAAGCAGCGCGGTAACTAGCGTCGAGCGAGCGGAGGTGAGCGATCAAGTCAGCAGAGCGCTCAAACGAGGCGAGATCAGGAAACAGGAACGGGAGGAAAAGACGGCCAAGAGAGACAGTAGCGGGAGTAGAGTAGCGGGCCTTAATCGCAGTGAGGTACGCAGCAGCGGTGCGAACCTGAGTGAAGTGGACCTCCTCTGACTCAGGGAGGAGGCTGCTGAGTGCGATGCAGGCCGCAGCGTCACGCGACGTCCAAGCCGTCCTGTCAGCGCGCTGACGGGCAAAGCGAGCCGTAGCAGCTGTCAGAATGTTATTCTCTAGCCTGTAGTGGGGTGCTCTATAGCGAGTACAACCCATCTAGGGTTTGCTATATGTATCCTCATTGCTGCTAGTGAACCTCCTCTTTGCCTAAACTTTCTCTTGCCTAGCTAGGGTTCTCCTAGCTATGGCTCCTGCTTATGCTTACTCTTTTGACATGGTAACAGAGCGTTCACGCTCCTGGCCTGTGGGCCCCACTGCTGCTTCCGCTGCCCTACTCAGTGTCGCGCGCCCCGTGGCGCGCGACCTTCACATTTTCATCCCGCCGCGCGCTCGGGGCGTGCGGCGGTTTTCTCCCCGCCGTGCGCACCGAGGCGCACGGCGGTTTCCTACCGTGGGGGACGCCCGCGGCCCCCCGATCCCGTCGCCCGCGGCCCTCCGGTCCCGTCGCCCGCGGCCCCGCGATCCCGTCGCCCTGGGGAGCCGCACGCGACCCCCCGCGGCCCCGATTTCCCGTCGTGCCGCCCTGGGGAGCCGCGCGCGACCCCCTTGCGGCCCCGATTTCCCGTCGCGCCGCCCTGGGGAGCCGCGCGCGGCCCCTCTCTGCCCCGTGGTCGCGTTCTGGGGGCCGAGCGCCGTCCCCCTCGCCGTCCCCCGCGCTCCTTCCCCCGTTCCGCCCGTTTTTAGGGTTTTGGGGTGCGGAGTGTGGGGGTGGCAGCTCTGGGGGTGCCGTGTGTGTGCGCCGTCCCCTGCTCCTCCTCCTCCTCCGTCTCCCACTGCTGCAGCTGCCGCTGAGGGGGGTGGATGTGTGGGAGCCGAGGTTTAGGGTTTAAGGGGGGTGCCGTGGAAGTGGAGCTAGGGTGTCAGCAGGGGGTGTGTGAGAGGGGCGTGGGACGGTCGGGGGAGGTTGAGCGGAGGCTGCCGTCTTGTCGTCAGCAGCACCTGTAGTCCGGGGCGCTGTTCCGGTAGCCCAGTCGTAGCCAGCTGCGCCAGTCGCCCGTGGGTCCGTTGCTCGTCTGCCGCTCTTCTTAGCCGCGGAGCCAGTTACTCCTGTAGTCCGGGGCGCTGTTCCGGTAGCCACTGTGCCAGTTTGACTCCTGTTGCCCGTGTGTCTGCAGCTTCAGCCGTCGCCTCTCATCTTCTCTCCTTCCACAGTTCCTCCTCCTCCTCACTTGCCCTTTGTGAATGCCTCTAGCTTTGCTTGCACTTGTGAACCTGCTTTCTACCTGCTTGCTCATTGTACTGATTACACCCCACTTTGGCTATGGGGGTGTGTCAGAATGTTATTCTCTAGCCTGTAGTGGGGTGCTCTATAGCGAGTACAACCCATCTAGGGTTTGCTATATGTATCCTCATTGCTGCTAGTGAACCTCCTCTTTGCCTAAACTTTCTCTTGCCTAGCTAGGGTTCTCCTAGCTATGGCTCCTGCTTATGCTTACTCTTTTGACAGCAGCATCGTCAGGGGCAGGACCTAAAGCGGCAGGCTCGGGGGGCTCGGGGAGGTCACCAGTAGCGTGCGACCAGAGGGTCTCGCCCCCCTGGACTTGACTCTCTAACAGACGGCGAGCGCGAAGAAGCCAGACGGAAAAGTCAAGAGGTCTACCGTCAGCGTCGAAACGAAGAACTCGCGGAGTCGCCATAGCGAGAACGAACGCGAACGAGCAGGCGAGTAACAGCAGGAGGTAAGAGGCAAATTAGGGTTCAGGTGGGGGGACTTAGTCGCAGCGGAAGAACGGGCTAGGGCGTAGGGTCGACAGGACGGGGGAAAGGGCGGGCGCAATGCGACGGGGCAGGGCGACGCGACGGGGCAGGGCGACGCGACGGAGCAGAGGCGACGGGACGGGGAAGGGCGACGCGACGGGGCAGGGCGACGCGACGGGGCAGGGCGACGGGACGGGGAAGGGCGACGGGACGGGGCAGGGCGACGGGACGGGGCAGGGCGACGCGACGGGGCAGGGCGACGGGACGGGGGAGGGCGACGGGACGGGGCAGGGCGACGGGACGGGGCAGGGCGACGGGACGGGGGGAAAGGGCGCGACGCGACGGGGGGAAAGGGCGCGACGCGACGGGGGGAAAGAGCGCGACGCGACGGGGGGAAAAGGGCGCGACTCGACTGGGGGGAAAGGGCGCGACGCGACGGGGGGAAAGGGACGCGACGAGGGGGAAAGGGCGGGCAGGACGCGACGCTAGGAGTGGCGCTAGGCGCGGCACTACGCGCGGTAACAACGGAACCGGAACGAATGAGAGCTAGGATCAGGCTCGGGAGGCTCGAACGGAGAACGGAGGAACGGGATCCCACAGGATCCTAACCTAACTGATACCATGTCAAAATGAAGAATGGATGGTGCATTGATGTTGGTTGGGGTACATATAGCTAACCCTAAGTTTTGTACCCCCTAAGACAAACCTCACTATAGGCTACAACATTTGACAAATACATACCGATCAAGATGGTGTTTTCGGAATGTTGTGCACGCCTGTGTCGGTGTCATACCGTAGTTGTTATTCACTAGCCTCAACTAAAGCCCCACTCTATGGCCCCGACCACTTCTGATCACACTGGAAAATGTCTTGCTGGTGGATGTCTAGATCTGACAAGCTTGTATTTGTTTTGTAGCCTCTGCTTCTACCTGATCCGAGAATAAAATATCTCATGCTTCTAACGAAGTTTTGAAAGCCATGATGCAGATACCCTCCCAGCGACGTTATCCCCGCCAGGCAGTCTGGAACACGAAGCGGTCGCCAAAGCGAGCTGACCTGCGAGTAACATTTGCGTTGCGCGTCGCTTCGTTACGAGTTACCCGTCTCCCACACTCCACCTCACCCACTCATCCCCCTCCATCTGCTCTTCCTCGCAACTCACGCACCCCCCGCGGCCTGCTTTTCTGCTTTCCATATCGGACTCGGACACGAACTCGAGCTGGCGACCGGGAATCACGCAGTAGCCAGTGCCGGGTAGCGGCGACTATCGACCAATAGAAACATCGAGCACTTCCAACTGGAGCGTGTGAAACACGTCTGGCCGTTAGCAGTCCCGAGAATGGCGCACCGCGCCCAATGCAGGTCTCGTGAGAGCGTCGTTGGGTATTTTAGCATGCCCCGCCGCTGGATCCTCAGACACCGCAATACCTTGAAGCAGCACCCACATCATTCCGCACAAAACGACGCGCTGAGAGCTTTTTGACTCGCCGCGCCTTTCGACGGCTTTCGGCATCACCATTATGGCCGCGTCATTCGCTCTCTCCCCTGCCCTTCGCCTCGCGCTCGTCCTGCTCCTCGTCTCCGGCGCGCTTCGACCAGCCGAATCGGAGTGGATCGGAGCATCCGGCGGTCCTAGGAAGCGCGTATCCCTCACACGCCACGCACATGCGCAGCTCTCGCTACGCAGGCAGCAGCACCAGCAGCGGCCCGCCACCGTCGTTCGCGGCGGCCCAGACGGCATCGTTTCAGCCGTAGGCTTTCCCCTCGTCCGCTCCGCCGCCTCTGACGGCGCGTCCGACGGCGCCAGCACGAGCGCCATCTCCCCGGCCGGAAGCGCGCCGATCAAGTACCACGGCGGCCCCGTAATGGTGGGCGCACCGACGGTGAACGTTTACCACATCTACTACGGCAGCTGGGGGGGCGGTTCGGGCAGGGAGGTGATCGACGCGTTCGTGCAGGCGCTGAGCAGCGACTCGGGCAGCCAGGGCAGCGGCGCGGCGGACGCGAGTGTGAAGGCGTGGTGGGCCATCAGCGCCGCGTACTACCAGAGCGACGCTGCTGGCGGGAAGAAGAACGTGAGCTCCAAGGTGAGTGAGACATGGCTGGCTGGCTGGCTGAACGCATGGCAAGAGTCTTCAAAAATAAGAATGGAAGGGATGGCTTAGGAACACCGTTGCTCATGCGTCTCGTTGTGCCCCTTCGTCTGCGCCCTCATTCATTCCGCCTTGCACACCCTCTTGCACGCCCTCCTGCTGTCATCTGCCTGTGACGCAGGTTCGCCTTGCGGGAACTGTGAGCGACAACTACTCACGCGGCAAGCAGCTGTCGGACGCAGACGTGCTCACCAGTATGTGCTGCTCCTCACCACTCACTCTGCTCCGCCCTTCTGTGTGCCGCCCCTCACCACTCACTCTGCTCCGCCCTTCTGTGTGCTGCTTATTCCCACGGAATCACATCACTCTTGCTTAATCATGCCCCTCTTCCATCACCTGCCCACATTCCCCAAGCATTTGTCAACTCAGTCCTCCTATTCGTCCTCCGCTCCCCGTGCCTCCACCCGCCCCCTTGCTGCCCATGCAGTTGTGAAGAGCAAGGTGGGAGCGGGCAAGCCTTTGCCGCTGGACCCACAGGGCATCTACGTGGTGCTACCCAGCGCCGACGTCACGCTGCCTGGCTTCTGCTCGCAGTACTGCGGCTGGCACACCCAAGACTCCCTCAACTCCACGCCTCTGCGCTACGCCTTTGTGGGGCACCACGGGCAGTGCCCCGGCGCATGCGGGGTAAAGAGCACGTCACCCAACGGCAAGCCGGCCATCGATGCCACCATCTCCACGCTCGCGCACGAGCTCACCGAAGCTGCCACCGACCCGGATACGAACGCCGGGTGGTTTGACGACGACGGCGAGGAGAACGCCGACAAGTGCGCGTGGAATTTCGGCAGCACCAAGACGGGATCCCTGCAGAACGGGCAGAGCTACGAGTACAATGTGGTGGGGCTGAATGGCATGAAGTTCCTCGTTCAGCTCAACTGGGACCGCGTCAAGAGCAAGTGCGTCCTGCAAAACGCCCTTCCTGCTGACAGTACCGGTGGGGGGGGTGGCACTCCTCCCCCGCCGCCGCCTCCCCCGACTGGAGGCAGTGTGAAGATGACGTGCGATTGCAACTGTGCGAGTGCCAGCAACCCCATGAGCTGCCAGTGCTCGTGCACCAAGACAGGGTGATGTGTGGAAGTGGAGGTTACCTACCGTATGCTTTGTGGATGCCGCATCACGCACATCAGATACACAGCTGAAGTATTTTTTACTGGATTTGTTTTTTCCCCACATATTTGCAGTTCTCCTTTTGTTGGTACCTACCGCATTCCCCCAGATATTGTAGATGCCCCCTAGATCGGGGCTTTTAATTTATTTTAGTGCTCTGTTTGTCAGAGGTCCACTGGGGATCCCCGATGATCCTAGGGAAGGGTTACAGGCATGTCGGCCTGGGGGGTTATGGGCGCACTCACCCGCTATATAAACAAGCCCTTTTATCCCAGTGGTTAGTGACTGGGATTCTGACATGGTATCAGAGCGAAGGTCTCGGGTTCGATTCCCGGTGTGTGCACCTCGGGCATCCCAGTGCGGGGGGGTGTCAGAGGTCCACTGGGGATCCCCGATGATCCTAGGGAAGGGTTACAGGCATGTCGGCCTGGGGGGTTATGGGCGCACTCACCCGCTATACAAATAAGCCCTTTTATCCCAGTGGTTAGTGACTGGGATTCTGACACTGTTGCCCAGGGTTGTTTATTTGGGAACTTGAAAAATCAGGTGCTCCTCTCTCACTATAATGTCATGTTTGTAGCGAAGCGTGAGAACCAGGCCTCTGGATAGGATTTGGGGTACTCTTCCTCGTAAGGCCAACACCCAGCTGTTACTCTTTCAGTAAGGGTGCTTCACAGAAACTGCTCTTAAAAATCAGGGTGCAAACAAATTAAAAAAAACAGTCAAATAATTTCGCTGACCATGCTACGTAGGGTGTTAATGTTGCAGTTTGTTGAGTCATCGTTTTAATGTGGAGGACCCAAGTTTGATACCCGTCGCGGTCGTCTGACGCGGGAAATCGGTTTTACGCGACCAATCCTAGTATCTTCTCTTAGACCGAACTCGATTTCATCAGTGCTACTACACCACATAGCTCTGAAATATCAGTGTCGTACAATCGATCACCTTTTTTTGTATGGGTTGAAAACAAAACCGGTCTTGTAAAAAAGGGTGGATCGTCAAACCCGCCCTTATAGCAAGGGTCATAAGGGGGAATCACCCTGATATCGAGAGGCCAGGTGAGAACGCTCCCGTGGCCTGACATATTTGTGGGGACACACAAATTCGGATTCTCCCTTGGCTTGAAGCTTGAAATTCGAGAAGCAGCCACATCTAGCAGCGCCACGACCATGTTCCTTGGGAACTCCACGGCACATCCCACAAATATTTGAGTTTATTCTGGCAGAGCCATAGCTGTGCGGGGTCTGGACAGAATAAGTAGCAGCACTTCAACTTTTACTCGCTATCGCTAGCTCATTGGTGCTCCCGTTCGCCATTCGCTCCCTCCCGTCGAACAGATTCGGCTTCGATGGAGTTGTCAGGTCTGTGAAGTCTGAACACTCGCCAGTGTAGTTGATGTCTCAGTTCAGCGGATCCATCCCAGTACCACCTTTTCCAGCCTCAAATGTTGGCACCATAGTTCTTGATGTTGGTGGGGCACTGGGATCGTCCCGAGTTGAGTGAGGGAGGGCTACAGGCACGGCCTGGGGGGTTATGGGTGTGCTACCCACCATACAAACATGAAAAAATTTGATATACTTCTCAAAATTTGAAGATTATGACAAGACTTGTAAAGGAGAATGCAGTAAGGAGTCAATTGCTTCAAATCTTTCGACAAGTCTGTGGACCTGTCACCTAGTCTAAAACATTTGTAGATCTGAATCTACAACAGCACACGTTTAGAGCTCTGCAACAGTAGACTAATGCATCCGCCACTACTAGTCTTATGCTCCTATGTCGCCACACGCGACGCGATCTATCCTGGCTGCGATGCGGTGCCACGATTTTGCAAACTGCTACTCCTCGGGACGTCATGAGATTGATTTTTTTTGCTGTTACACGGATTGAAATTGCAGCGGCTACCATTACGAAAGACCGCGCCCAGCTTTCCTTCCACTGCTGCCTGCAGCGTGAGGGGATAGTGCGAACGCGCCCCTGTTGTTGCTGCTGCATCTCGATCTTCTACTGCTGCCGCGCGATCCGTCGTTGCTGCCACGCGATCTGCCGGTGCCGCCACAGGATCTGCTATTGCTACCGCGATATGCTTGTGCGGTGGCGCAATTTTTGCTGCTGTACCGCGATTTGCGACTGCCGCGGCGCGAGCTGCTGCAGGTGTCCGCGAGTTGCTGCTGCTACGGGATATTCGCTGAAGATGCTCGAGATTTGCTTCTGCTTCCGTAATTTGTTGCTGGCGCAGCTCAATCTGCCATCAATGCTCTAGATTTGCTGCTACTTCCGTGATTTGCTGCTGCTGCGGCGAAATCTGCTGCAGGTGCTCAGTGAGCACTGCTTACGAATTGCTGCTCGTTCTGCCGCTGCTGCTGCCGTCGCGCGATCGGCTGCTGCTGCTCTGCGATCTGATGCTGGTGCGCTATCTGCTGCTGCGCGCGATCTGCTGGTGCCGCCCGTGATATACTGCTGCCGTGCGCGATCCGATGCTGCTGCGCACGATCTACTGCTGCTGCGCACGATCTACAGCTAGTGGCGCACAAAGCTGCTCGCGCCGCGCAATGCTGCTGATGTCGCTCTTCGCCGCTGGTGACGCGCGATCTATTACTGGAGCTACTTACAGCACCATTCGTGGTGTGGCTTCCGGGAGAGCAGCTTCGAACAACTCTCTTTACCAGAGTTGGTGCCCTGTATAACACAGATGGCAATTGCAACTGTGGTGCTTTAAAAAAAAAAAAAAAGAGAGGTGGTTTCAAAAGATATTTGGTGGCTTACAAAGGCTTTGGCCATATGAAGATTATGGTTTCACGGCTTTGGCCTCAGAAGATAACGGCCCAGAAAGGCAATCAGTTAGCCTCACGCAAGAGAAATCTCATGATTTTGAAAAATACCTTTGTTGAGAGCTTTAAGCCTGTCAAAACATATGCATGTTAGTATCTAGGCTATATTGGGGCTAGCCTTAGAGGGTACACAAATTTTCTCGACACTCTAGTCTTGTACCCCAACCTTGACCTAATCTCACATACTTCTCATTCTAACATGGCATCAGAAGCCTAGGTTAGGAACCTAGGACCACGTATACTAAGGGCCCGCCCTTCCGCTAGCGCCCTCGAGCGTCTCCTTCATTTCGCGCCCTCGTGCGCCTCGTTTTTCCTTGGTCGCGTCGCCCGCTAGACGACCGCGCGCGGCCCCCTTTTTTTACCCGCGCGCGGCTTTGTTTTCTGCCCGCGCGCGGCCTGCGCGCGGCCCGAATCGCGCGCGACGACCGTAGGCCGCCCGCGCGGCTAGATCCGCCCGTCGACCCGCCCGCCCGCAGGTCGCAGCCCGCGCGCAGTGGCGATCGCGCGTCGGCTGCTGCAGCTCGCGTTTCGCTGCAGCACGACCCCAGCCGCGGCCTGCGCGCAGCTGCAACCCTAGGCGCCGCCGCGCAACGTGCCTAGGCTCGCCGTTGCGCTGCCCTACCTCCCCGAGCCGCGTCGCCCTGACCGAGCCTCCTGTTTAGGGTTTAGGGTTTTGCAGCACCTACTGTCCCTGTTCCTGCTGTTACAGCTGCTACTACTACTGCTCTTACTGCTGCTACTGCCACTATGGCTACACCCACAGTTCTCTCTTTCGATGCTGAGGGCCGTCCGCTCCAGTTTGATGCTTGGCTTGACGATCTCCACCTTTTCCTCCAGATCACCGCTAAGGATGACGTCTCGCTGTATGACCACGCGTCCGGAACCGCTCTCGCACCTGCTGACACTGCTGACAGTACAGCTCGCTCCCAGTGGCAGACTCGTGACGCCCACGCTCGCCTAGCCATTCGCAGCCACCTGCCGTTAGATGAGCGCGCGCACTTTGGCCAGCACAAGACTGCTAAGGAGCTGTACGATGCAGTAGTCGCCCGCTACTCCTCACCTGCCTCCGCTACGATAGGCCGTCTCTCTCTGCCCTATCTTTTCCCCGATCTCGCCGCCTTTCCCACAGTCGCTGACCTCATTACACACCTCCGCACCAGTGACACTCGCTTCCGAGCCGGCCTTCCTGCTGAGTTTCTCGCCAAGAACCCCCCCCCCCCCGACGTACCTCGTTCTCTACCACCTAGTCACCCGTCTCCCTGACTCTCTTCGCGCAGTCAGGGACCACTTTCTCGCCCTCTGCCCTACCGAGCTCACCATTGACCTGCTCGAGAAGCATCTGCTTGCAGCTGAGGCTAGTATAGTTGCTGTAGGTGCCTCTCGTGGCGACCCCCGCACGCCCTTCTTCGACGGGTGTTCCCCTTCCCCCCTTCTCCCCTCGGTTGCCTCTGCTGCCGCTGTCGACTTCCTCGGTGCTGAGGACGTCGGGGCTGCGTCTGCTCCTAGCTGGAGGCGCAAGAGCGGCAAGGGCAAGGGGGGCAAGGGTGGTGGCGGTATTAGTGGGGGAGGTGGGGGTGGCGGTGGAGGTGGAGGCGGTGGGGGCGGTGGGGGCGGTGGGGGCGGTGGGGGCGGTGGGGGCGGTGGGGGGTGGGGGTGGTGGCGGTGGTGGGGGTGGTGGCGGGGCTGGGGGGGTCAGTGGCAGCGGCGGGGGGGCAGCGGCGGGGGTGGTGGCGGCAGTGGTGGTGGAGGAGGCCGGGGTGGAGGTGGTGGTGGTGGCGGCAGTGGGCGTGGTGGCGGCGGCTCGGGTGGTGGTCGGGGTGGACCAGCGCAGCGTGGAGGCTCGGGTGGTGCCCAGCGCCAGCAGCAGCGTCTTGGAGAGACCCCGTCGTCCCAGCAGCTTCGTGAGTGGTACTCTCAGCATGGGGGGTCTGGGGGTGGAGGCACCTGCACGTATGTCATCCGCACCGGTGACCGCGCTGGTCAGACGTGTGGGCGTTTCCACACGCCGCACCGCTGCTTCTTTCGTCTAGACGATGCCTGGCGTGCACAGTTCCCGGAGGCCTCTGAGCTGCCCCGCTGGGCTGATCTGCTTAAAAAGAACATTGATGTATTTGCACTTGACTTTGATGTTAT